TTTTCGGTCTCCACGGCCACTTGATGGAAGGAGTCGAGCTCTCTTTCCTCGAGTCTCTCTCGGTTCCTCTTCTTCCCGATTTATATTTGTCAAAGCGAACGCGATCTCGTTAGAGAACCCAAGTCTGAGAATTAGCGAGCGCTATAGCGAGCGTTCATATAGCATTTCGGATCTAGGATATATAGTTTGCGAGTTTTTTGAATAGATACATCCGCGCGTGCTTTGGTACCTCTCGCTTTGCCAAAAAGTCGAGTGGGTACATATGTCGTGTATCTTTGCAGGTGGTTTAGGGGACTACTTCGTCGTTGAAGTAGCTTTATTTTTTTTTTTTTTTTTTATTATCAGAGAGCTAGCGGATACACACATACGTACATATATTTCTATATGTATACGTATATGAATTTAGATCCAAATACCGAGATATATCTGAATTTCTCGAAATCGAAACTGCGCCGATATTCTCATATAATCGCACCTCGTGCCTGGCTTAAAGGACGACAATTAAATGACATGGTTGCGCGCCGGCAGTAACTTCGACTACGGATTCTCCATATTCATGGGAGATCAACGCGCGTTTAGACGGGAGGGGATACGCCGGGTTGAGTTGATCAAAGGCCGTCCGACTGCGATGCCGAGGTCCTCACAGCCCCTGCGCGAAACCTCCTCGCTCTCTTTATTACTCAAACAACTCACCCGGGCAGCCGAAGTTCAACTGTACTTTTCAAATAATGACCCCGTCATATTGTATACCTTTGCATTTTTACATTAAAAACTCGGCGCTTTCTTTTAATGTTTCGAGATCGACGGTAGAAAGAGGGATGGAAAGTTCGGGCTTTCAAGGGGCGACAAAGGAAGATAAAAAAAAAAAAAAAAAAAAAAAAAAAAATAGAAACTACTCCGAGGCTTTATCGTCTAATGCTTGATTACGAACAACCGCGCCATTGTCGCAATAAAGACTGTCGTTCACATTTTTTTTTTTTTTTTTCACGCGATCGTGCGTTTTGTAACGTTTCTTTGCGCGAATGGCCTTAAGAAAATTTACCTGTATCAAGTCTCCGAGTGTACTTTTTATAAATTAACACTTCGTGCGCGCGAGATGTACATAAAACGCATTAAATGTCGCAATCGAAATATAACTCTGAATAACACAGAGTGTTCTGCAATTCTGAAGAAAGTTAAGAAGCTAAATTCTATGTCCCGATGGAATTTTTCAAAATTATTTCAGACTGAAAATCGCGTTCTATTCGCATCTTATTCACATATTATTCGCATCGTGAAAGTGCCTCCGTCTTAGATCATGCTTTCCGGCGATTTTGTGCAAGTGCAACAAAAGACGAACATCGACGATTTACAGGTATAGTCCCACACAGATGTGTAATCGCCTTAGCAAATATTTCTGAATGCCGTTCCGAAATACCTATTATAAGATGGGGAAGGGATAAGGTACCGCGGGAGAGATTTTGCTTCCTCCTCGCCCCCATCTTATAATGGATATCCGACACACGTAATGATAATCCCATAATGCGTGGATCTACTTGAAATTGGCCGGGAATACAAGTCTCGAATATCTTCCGCTTCGTACGCACCGAAAATCGTACTTCCTATTGAATTCGTGCGCTGATCTCATATAGTTGTAAGAGATGTGGGCATGCTGGTATATACATAGGAAAATGTACATAGATATATAGCGTATATATAAATATACACAACCAGAGCCTGATTCTTGAGGCATATGATGAACGTTAGATTGAATGAAATTGAAAGTCTTCTAGTCGTGTGCGTGCAATCAAGACAAAAAAGAATTTCTAGGTTTTCTTTTAAGTAAAAATATATTATACGATGAACGAGTAGGTGCACACATATATTGACATGTATGTTTTGAAATTGTATACAATGTAAATATACAATGTAAAAAAATAAAAATCTACTGATTTGTACAAATAATTGAATATAGTTGCTTAATAATGTATATTTAACAATATACAAAAATATAATGCATAGACATAGTACATTTTTATGTTTTTGGAAATTGTGATGCAGATATGTGGATTCGTGTTACCCCATCGTTCGGGATGCGCGTTTCACACCGACATCTTGCGTCGACTCTCGGAGATCTCTGTTGCCTTCAGAAGCGTTATTTTAGCAGATAATAACTCGTTTGTCGGTATCACCAAAGCCTGTATATCCAGATTATTTACAGCTGTTTGGTTAAAGTTGACCAACAAATAGCAAAAACTATTTCTAGTATATATCAATAAAATTCTAAAATATGGACGTTCGATAATATAGAACTTAGAAGATAAAGAGAGTAGATCAGTGATCACAAAAACGTATAATTCAGTAAAGTTTAAAAATTACATTACTTATTGTCGATATAGTTATAACAAACTGTGTATAAATTGATTTTATTGTGCATACATATTATTGCATTATTGTATTAATCTATATAACTAAATCTGATTGAAATCTATTCTTTTATGAAAACAGCATTAAAAATATTGTTGTTATTTTGCTGTTTGGTTTTAGATTTTATAATATGATACACAAATATATGTATCTACAGTAATTAATACAGTAAGTAATATTTTGCAATAAATATCGAAATATTAATTACAGTACGTAAGTAACAAGTATATATATAATGTATGTATGTATATAAATATATACACTATATATATATATACCATAATGTACACATACACACACTATAAAAGAACACACTACTCGATTTTGTCAAGATAATATTCAAAAATATATCATCAGTCATGTTGTGCGCAGAGACTAATTAAAAACCGAGTAAATGTATAACGAAAGAGATAAGTAAAAAACGAATTCCGTAACTGATATCACTTATTGCATAAAATATCTCGCGAGAAGTGAAGTAAAATTTTCAGATTTTTAAAATTATAATGATAATTTCTGTTCGCGTCTTTTATGAAGTCCTTTTATAAAGTGTGTTACTTAAACAATTTATATTTTCTGATTTTAAAAAATTTATATAAATTTACTTAATGGTACGATATAGAGAAAAAGAGAGATAGAGCCATTATGGTTCACAAATAAATTCTATTTTTTCTTTCTCACTTCTGACTTTCATGTCACTACAATTTTATTTTTATTATATATATATATATATAACTAATTTTATAAAATTTTATATGTACTATAATATTGCATTTTAAGTATTATATGCAATTTAAATATTGCATTATTCAAATCATCATGAATAATAGCAGTATAAATGTTGCGTAACGTGTTCACTGACTCGAGATAATAAAGGTTAGATACATAGTATAGCTATTGTATGTAGCTTAATGTGCTGCAAACGAGTGGATAAATAATGTACACACATTCCGCTAACAATTAACGATAGCGATATAATTGTTTTATTGTACGTACACACAATAATGCTATCCGCGTATACATTTTGCGAACACATTTGATACTTTTAAATGTACTATAATATTTCTTAATACATGAAAATATGTGATGTATATAAATAATCGTTACGTAAAAGTAACGATTATTCGCTCAATACGCGTATTTCTACATGCTAACTTGTATTTACGTACTGTTTATACACATATGTATATATATTATTAATTATATTTTAAATTTTATCACGAAATGAAACGAAGAACATGCGAAGTGACGAGAATAACTTTATCATAAGTGGAAGCAAATATATGCGATACGTGCGCCAGATGGTCCTACTTAAGATTGATTAATTATCCAGACACACATCCAGCATTAGATAGTTTCTGCGTAAGCACAGAGAAGCTCTCCTTAACAAGTTGAATCTACATGAGACAAAGTACGTACAGCTGAGAAAGAGAGAGAGACAGAGAGATAGAGAAACACCGTGTGATTCTCAGATCTAGTTGCAAGACGCGTTAGGGCCACACAATGGTAGATAACACGTTATCTTCCCAGCATCTCTCGTCTATTAATTTGACGATAAAAATGAGCGATGTGAGCAATCAAACGTACGTGATCGATATCAAAGAATGTTATCAGCTACGTGAGAATTAACAGGCACGATGAGTGAAAGCAATTTCGTTGTGTTCGACATACACAACTTCTTCACTCCAATCGATACCATCGATTTTTTTACGATTTGTAGTATGCGAGATGTTATCAATACTCGCGCTTACGCATCTCACTCGTGCAAAAAACGGTTCGTAACATACTTTATTTTGTGTTTATTTTCAATTACACAATTCTCTCTGAGGATACTGAGCTTTTCACTAATTAAAATTATTTGTCAAGATAACGAAAAAATATCACGTTCTTTTTAATTCGTCGCTCCAATTGGCTTCTGTGATTAATATTCCGCAAATAAAACTGAGCAACACGTTTTTACGATGCGTGTGCTATATAGAAATTTTCTAATTATAACAAAGAGAAGATTTCGTTTCTTATCTGTAAAAGAAATGATAAAAATGTACATCCGCTACTCTTTGAAATTGTATCTCGTCTCACAATCGAGATAATAAGACCGATAATCTAATTGAAAATAGTATTGCGAAAGCACGCATCCTGTCGTTCTCTATTTCGGAGATATGTACAAGTGTAATATCGAATGTTTTCTTGTACACGATGTTTATCGCATACATTTCTCAATGACATATAACGCGGAGAAAAGGCAAGTGATTCTCTTTCCTCTTTGAATTGCGTCGCCACGTTCGTCATTATTTCGCGAAATATAATTAAACTTTTTGCCAAAGGCACGCGAGTTTCTTATATTCTCGAATACACGTATGTGAAAATTCGTGTAATTCTGAGAGTGTCAATTAATAGCACAGGACAGCGGTGGGAATATTTGCAACACGCCGGCATAAAGGTACATATATTTCGCCGAGTCTCTTTTGAATGCTTTTGAGTCAGACCGGCTGATTACGCTCTTGGTGTCGTCGTCGGTCTAATCCGTCTCCGCGCGTTTCATTTGCATCTCGCGCCGAGCGCGCCGGTTGGACCGTTCATAAAGCGTACGTGATCGCGATAAAAGTCGGTGCGCCGTTAACGCGCGACGCCGTTAACACGTTTCCCAGAAGACATCTGATAATGTCCGGTACGTGCCGCATTTGTCTTATTAATGCAACGCCAGTCACGTGAGTAACGGCAGCCGTCCGGCTTATCTCCTCGCGCGCTTTGCAGACAAAAATCTCGCTCGGGACTTCCCGTATTTTTGCACTTACTTGAGATTCCCTCGACCGATGCGGACTCAATCTTACGACGGATTTGCCACAGCATCGAACTCGGATCACAAAGAGAAAGGGAACCTTTTACGGCATGTGATACCTCGCGCATCGTTCGCCTTAATCGCGCACGCGTCACATGTAATCCGGCATATATTATACAAGGAAAACGTTCACGTTATTGCTGTGAAGAGACTTCCATTCGTATAGATAATCGCCAATTGTCGTTCGCGATAGTTCAGTTACGAAAACGCTGTTTGCATACATACGTGTGTTTGCGGTCTTAACTTACGTAAGTTGCATATCTTTATTTTTATTTAGATCGAGGTTAAATGCTTCGCAGCGTTATACTTAAGTGTTTTATATGTATATATATATATGTACATATTTATTTATTTATTAAAGAAAGTCTTTTCGTATTTTAATGCGAATTTCAATAAGAAAAGATTTTCTGACAAATCCAATATATAATATAAAAGAACAACAAGTAATTACTATATAATATAACATATATAATGTAATAGTTAATATGTAATATATAATATAATGATTATTATTATAAACTAGAACAAAAAACAATCGGTAACGCGTTGCGAGTTTGACTTTTGATTATGATCCAGTGTGATTACACTCGAAAGTTGTTCCAAAATTTTGACACTCTGAATACATTTCAGTTGTTATATATCACAATGTTGTTCATAGAACTTAGATAAACCTCTCTGTTTTAGGAGAGAATAGTAAGTAGGAAAGATAAACTTGTTTTATTTTATTTAATTCGAGATAATAATATACATATACTACTAATATTATAATAATATTGACAGAAATTTAATTTTCCCGGGAAAGATTAAGGAGAAAAGAATATTTTTTTAATAATTAAAGAAAGGAAACGTGCGCGCGAGAGAGACGGATCGTGTAAAATGAAGAAGCAATAGATGCGACCTCGTAACCCCTTTCAAGACAAACTGCCTATTTTCTATTTTCAGCAAATACGGATTGATTTTTGTTCTTCTTTTTCTGGATGTTCAATTTTACAGATTAAAAGAGAAAGAGAGAGAGAGAGCTAATCCGTTTCCTTGAAATAGCAGTAAAACTTGCGCGTGATTGTACATACTGCCATGAGGAAAAACCAGTTGTACGTATTATATGTTTGTCAGTTGTATTCATGAGTTATTATTCGTAAATAAACTTTCCGACGCATTGGTAAAAAATGTAAATTCCCGATACAAGGAAATTCCCGATAGTGTCTAACGTTTCGAAGAATCATTTTTCGTAAACGATTCTTCTGATAAATAGATAAAAATCTTGACTAAGATTGCAAAATAAAAATTAATTATTGCACATTATATATTATTATTGGATTGTGTAAGATATACATCTCGTTTTCTCTTCAAATGTACAAAATTTATAATAATTTCCAATTCATTAAATAAAAGATGCATTGAATTGTGTGTATATATTAAGAGAGAGATATAAAAACACACACACATGCGCGTACAATTATGATATTAGTTTAAAATAAATAATACAATAATTATAATAAATTTATCATTATGAAGCGAGTATTCAGAGCAAACACGTGCTTTTGGCATTTTAAATTATTATAATTTATATATATATATATATATATATATATGTATATGTATATATATATATATACTGTGATTAGCGCACAGAACGGTGTTGATTTTATTATGTATTTTATTACGTAGTATAAGCAAATTAAGATAATGCAATGTGTGTAATGTATTCATTAAAACTTGTATATTTTATTATATTGTGTTATTACATATTATTATATGTGAACACAACTAAACCAATCGATTGCTATGATTTATCTCTAAAGATGCATATTATAGAGATACATACAATAGGTTTATTTTTTTCCCTGAACTGACTCCACTAGTTCACAGTCTATTTTTTTTATCCATATTAGAAAGAAAAAGATAGACTGTGAACTAGTGCAGCAAGTTCAGGGGAAAAAAAACAAACCTAATAAACATTTATATGTACGTCTCTAACAATTATGCTTCTATTTACAAAATTGATATCGTTTTGCTTCAGCTTTTTCTTATTTATTTTCTCTTCCTCTCTCTTTTCTCTCTCTCTCTCTCTCTCTCTCTCTCTCTCTCTTCTCTCTCTCTCTGTCAACAATATCGTATCACGTGAGAATAGGGCGTAAAAATTCGAAAGTACGATCAAGTTCTGCGCGAGCCAACAAAAATTCCTACGGTTGATAACCGATCGCGCGCAGTACCGATAACAAATCGTACGTTATTGCAGGACAATGGCGGATAAAAACAATGGCGAAATCGCGCTTCAATCGAGAACATCCAGACTCGAAGCTGGCAATTCCACCGAAAACATCGTGAGCTCGCAAAATAGGAACTCGTCGGCTTGGAGCATTCAACGTATTATTGTCTCTATACTAGACGTGATTAACCATATACTAATAATCATGGTAACGGTGTACCTCGTGTGTATCTTTGCAAAGGATTACGTTATTTCAAATAGCAAATATGGTCTTTATTCTCTGCACGTGATCCTCTGCACTATCGGGGTAAGTACTTTATTCAACAAAAAAATATACATATATAAAAATTTTTTATTTCTCTTTTTTTTGTTGATTTCTTAACAAATCGTAAAAATTGAAATTGCGGTAAAACTGACTGCTCGCTCTGGTACTGTAATAATTAACCTTAATCCTGTAGACGTTTTTTTAAGTACGTATCCTATAAATCCTGGACATTTACGCGGCTGATGCGATTTTTTTATTAATTAAAACGTTGCAAAAACTCTGTAAAAATTCACGGAGCTTTATTTTTATTATATTAAGAAAATAACATTAATTTTAATATATTGTTTTATTTTTTAGATTTTTTTTTTTACTAAATAGTTAATAAGATTTTCTCACTTTCAAGAATCGCTCGAAATGTTCAGGGTTTACAAGATTCTAACTAAATATCCCAACAAAACGAAACAAACTCTGTTGCGATCTGTGTATTTCGAAGTCTTCGAACGCTTCGGGAGATATTCGGGATTAACTATAGCGACAACAGAGATTTCTGCTACGACAATAAAAATTTCGACGTAAAGCTATATCTTCGTAAAGATTTCTTTGTGCCGGCGGGGATTATTCCCTGTATATATATACATATATATATACGGGTTATCGACATGCGTACAAAAGAGTACGGAGATACTGTGCCACAAAAATCCAATTGTGTAAGTTACATTTTTCCTCGAAATCGCGCATCAATATGTAAGTTTACGCGCGCGACTGAACTTGTAGTAAATCTTGCGGCGCGCTTATCTTTTCCTCGTAACAAGGGGCTTCCCCGGGTTGCAGCAATTATTGCCCCGCTGCTTATCTTCGCGAAGCGAAGTTTAGATGGATCGTTACTTTCGAGGTCGTTTGAAGCATAGCTGTTGCTGATCTTGTACACACAAATACATTTTAGGAATATTTTGGTCCGGCTGTGTAGCCGAATATAAATTTTAATTAAATGTTTGCTACATAGTTTGTAAAATACGTATGCATACACCAATGCGATTCGCGTGTGATTTTATATGAGAAAGCGCATATTTTCATCTAAATAAATTTCACGGAAATGAATTTCTCATTATATATATATAATTGTGCCTGATTTCACATATTTTACTCCGCTCATTTTTTTGCGCTGATGAATATTCAAGGAATGTCTTAAACTTTTAATATATGTGCACAGTCAATACGAGCTTGCGAACAATTTCCGCATAATTTTTTTTCTTTTTATTATTTTTTTTTTTTTTTTGCGTTTCATTGCATTTCGCGTAATATCGCAGCAAATGTTTCACGACTGTGTTCTCTATTCAGACAAATTTCTATATAAGTGTACATGAAAGCGCGACAGGAACAACGATTTTCGATTCAAGTGTTAATTAATTCGAGTTGAAAACATTTCAGAAACTTTTGCCTCCCCCGTGAACGATCGAGTTTGGGGTAAGATAGATATTATATATATATATATATATATATATATATATATATGTATATATATTATAGCGGATGTCGTAATTAAGTTCCGAGCGACCTCCGAAACTCAAATTACACCATCCACTTCCCGTTCCTGTGTAACGTCTACAGAGTAGAATCGCGTATCGAACGGCAATTGAACCTCCTCTCATTCTCCGCTCGGGGGACCTAGAGTTTTAGGCCAAATAAGATGGCCAAAGAACTTCTAACGACTTTAGCCAAAACAATCCGAACTTCTCTTCTCGGCAAAAGTCGTCGCTCAACGAATCGATCTTACGTTTCAGTATGTTCTGCTGATGTCGGAGGCCATTATTGTCCTGGCGAGTGACAACATTCTGACCGGTTGTCTTTCGCGTAGGGCCAACAAGCATCTCCATTGGATTCTGCAGGTCATCGGGCTGATACTCAACCTGGTCGGCGTGGGTATTGTGTATTTTAATCGGACACAACACTTTAAATCGATTCACGCAATCACGGGACTCGCCTCGCTGGTAATCGTGTTCGTGGTGACGATCTTCGGATATCCAGTGTGGATCGCGTGGAAACTGCGCAAATTCATTCGGCCGGTAGTGACGAAGTTTCTGCACAATTTTCTGGGCCTCGCCGGTTACGTCATAGGAATAGTTTCGCAGTGTTACGGTTACAAAAAAAAAATGGTGCACAGACTGACCGATGTGAAATACATCGACGAGGCTCTGCTTGGTCTTACGATAGTGATCACGATAATATCTCTGAGAAAAGCATTCTTTGTCTCTCTTCCCAGACAGATCTCCGGCACTCTCAAGACCATTCAATAATTTTTTTCTCTCTAAGATAATTTTTTTTTTAATTTTCATTTTATAAAGAACTGTGACATGTGCGCTCTCCAGAGCGCTTTCCAGAAGATTAAAAGTGTTACGTTATTAATGTACATACGAGAGTTGGTTAAAAAATTCCGAACCTTCACGTAAAGATAACGCAAATAAATTCAATATTAAGTTTAATGGCGCTTCGCGCTCTCATCTTTTAGTGATTTAAGTTTAAAGTTTCAAATCAATACGTTATTTAGTACAACCTTCTCTCTCTCGAATAGAAAAATTGGAAATCCGTGCGAATTGATAAAATAGTTTTTGTTTTTTTTTAAAGATCTAACTCTAACTGAAATAAAACAATCATTTAAAATGATTTAGTCTTGTGCGACTTTCATCTGTTCTCAAACTTTCAAAAACTGGTTCGGAGGAAAGAGATTTTCGTCTGATATAGTAACTGAGATGTAATCGATGTCGTAAAAGTCTTTGAGGATCTCGACAAATTGTTTTACCAAACTGACATAACGGTTTTAGAACATCGTTGGGCAAAATGTATCTAGTTAAATGGAAACTACGATGAGAAAAATAAATCCAGCCCCAAAAAAAATGTTTTCTTATTCAGGCCTTGAACTTGTCAAACGGCCCTCGTATATAGTACACTTAAGTAAGTTTTACTAGCTGTGTAACGTCATTTTAGAAAACATCGGTTTTTTTTTCCGCCAGAAAGTATCCGTGTATAATCTTCCACGTGTGTTAACTACAAAACATGTGTAGATAAGGAATAGATATTAGGCTAATTAATATTTATTTACGTTAACGATGTTATAAAATTACATTCGATATCAATGCAAAGATCTGTAAACTCGATAAAATGTACAAAATTGCGCAACAAAATGAAATAAAAATGTACGAAAAATATACATTTCTAATTTAATTAACTTGTTTATTTAGCATTTTCACAGCCGAGAGACGCGTTTCGAGAAGTAGCGTTTTGCAGCGTATTTCAAAACTAGCTGTGCTCTAGCGCTGTTAAAATATCTCACGAAAGGAAGTGCTCTTTAGTGGCGAGATAATGTTATTACGAAATCGAATTGCCAAGTGTTCCGCATGCAAGCATTCGGTGTTGCAACAGCATGCCACTTCAACTTCTGACGGCGTTTAATGAGAGAAGTCGAAGTTTAATTCGACGCGAAAGCGACGGCAATCCGAAATTTCGAAAGTCGTAATTTCTCCCCTCTCCGTCGAATAGTAGTCTCTGTATCCAATTTCCTGTTCGATGTATCCATTTTATTCGGTGTATGCGTTCTAGATGTATTTGATACCTATCCCACAATCAATCGAGAGTCAATCGATTTATCGAACGAACTTGTAACATCTTTCGAAGCGTTCGCCATGTACGAAAAGCACCATAAAACGACATACAAGACGTTTAAAAAAGTTTAAGAAAGTTTAAAAATTTTTAAAAAGTTTGTTTCAATTTCTCTCTCTCTCTCTCTCTTCCTTTTTCTCTCTCTACTTATATTAAAAAAATTAAAATCTCTGATAAATTCTATCTTTATTTGCAAACACCTATCATAATTTAAACAGTGAGGTACATTGCGTTCTTACGCGATAATATTTTAATGAACTTCATCGCTTTAATTAGCGTGGCAATGATTATACGTGTTTTATCAGACAAATCGTACGTTTGTTGTTATGTTTAAATCAATTACGCGCATTACATAACCCGACAAGTGCCCTTGGGCGACACTCATCACATTCCCACGAAGTGTAATCATCGAAATTAAGTTGCAAGCCGCGCGTTGTTTCGCTAAATTATTATAAATTGCAATAACATGTTGCGGGGCAACATTTAAATTTCGTTACGCGGCGCCGCAGTGTGTGCGTTAAGAATAAATAAAACGCATTTGTGACGCGCGGAACAGCCGCGATAATGCTCGGGACTGGTGCACGGGGAGAGAGAGACCCCGAGTGATATTTATACGAGTGTGATAACGAGCGCAAGAAGTGCGATATTTATTTGCCCGCGATAGTGGTGGTTGCGCTCATCCGCGATAATGCCGGCCGGATATACTTGTGCATTGTTGTGCATACGTACATGTATATATGTGTGTGTGTGTGTGTATACAATATATATCCACGTATGCGCTTGTTGCAAGTAACATATTTATTCGCTAGAAAGCGCGAAGATGTGTCAATGACCGCGTTAATTGGTACAGAGACCAAACCTATCTCTCGTTCTCGACGATCCTTCGTCGATCCCTTCGCGTCTCTGTTCCATTTTTACTACAGCGGCAGAACGAACGCCAGAGAGATCGAGGCTTCATGAATCATTCATCCCGGATTATTCGCCGCGCAATGTCTGTTCACGGTAACGTGAGCGAGAGTCGATCGTACGTTTTTTTTTTTTTTTTTTTCTTATTGAAAGGATGACTCGCGCGCCCTGTGTGTACCTTTCCTGAGAATTTGTGTTATTAAATCCCCGTATCGGGGCGGTCCGTAATAAGCGGCGTTGAAAAATTCTCGATCGCTCGAAAGTTCGTCCGCGTGCAGTGTGTCTGGCGGCGGTGGCTGGGAATTAAAATTCTCGTTGTTTTTCTTTTTGTTTTTGCGGCGAAAATTTTCAGGAATCGTTTCGCAGTTTATGCAAATTACTGACAATGGATTTTCCGCCCGAACGTCTATTTTCAAACAAAAGCTAGAAAAACAAGACAAAATCGATTATGAGAGAATCTAATACAACGGTCTCTTGTTAAAAGAAAATCTCGAAACGATTTTTGAATTGTGTTTTCGATTTTGATTTTACGATAGAATTACGTTCTAGCGACGGCAAAACTCACGCGTTGAAGCAATTTTTTGTTCACTTTCCAAGTGCAATAGATCACGGCTATAATTGAAGCAACAGAAGTAACTTGTCGAAAAAAAAAAAAATGCTTTTTCGCCGCGTTTTTCACTGCGTTTCGCAGTTACGCGATCTCTGTCCGCTTAGTTCTGCATAATTGACGAAAATGCGACGATGCACGTCGACGCGTCGTGTCGCGTCGTGTCGCGTCGCGTCGCGTCGCGTCGCCGTCGTTCTAGCAGTATAATTGTGTCCGCAAATAGATATCGCTTGGAAATACAATACATCCTGCCCGCGATATATTCCACCATTTCGATTTCTGGTGAAACGAAAACGTGTACACGTTACAAAGTACGATCAAATGCTACTCGGCCGCGACTAAATTTCGTGCCGAATTTGAATTATGCCAACTTTTACGACCGCACCCATTGTCGATGAACACCGAAGTGAAACGAGGCGTGTATAATACAATATGGTGAAACAAACTCATTTGAAATATAGAGATGACACGTCAATATCGTTTTAAAATAAGCTTGGGCACGCCGCATATTTTATCGCATTATATACATATAATATCGAAACGATAAACACACGGTTACAGTGGTTTTAGTCACTCAATATTCAAGTGGAGAAAGGAAAAGTGATTAATTGAACGACAATTTTCATAATCCGTTTCTGTATTTTGTCTTCTGTTTTTTGGGGGGGCTTTTTTTTTCTTTAATGTCAACACTAATTCAAACCCATCTTCCCTTCACAGAACCCAATAATTTCCGAGTCTGCGCAACACGATGTTTGAGACTCATTAATTTTCGTTAAGAAGAAACTGTCTGGGGGATTCGTGTTCGCGGAATTTGCAATTATAAATAAATATAGGACTTTTTCCGTCATATGAACGCGAGATACGTTGGCGGGCGGATTATTGATGACGACCGGATTAGTATATGATGTTAAAGTTTCCGGCACGCGTAATAACCTTTATGGATATGACATTTCAATTAATTTTCGCTTCTCCGCGTTGCCTTTTTCTCAGCGGAGAACCATACCGTATAATGATAACATTTAATTAACACAATAGCTTTTGCCGATGTATACCTGGATATGATTAAATTATTATTATTATAATTATTATTTCTGCACTGTAGCTCGATAAAACTTGCAACAAAATGCGCGCATTATTCAATGAGATGAACATTAAAGCAAAACATAAATTTTGACTGTTATTAATGCTTCCTTCCCGCAATTTCCTACTTGCAATGAGAGTAACGAAGTAAAAAAAACGCCTGTTATATTCCAGCGATCATGTGAACGGAAGAAATGACGACGCTTTTTCCGCAGCAAACGACGACGACGATGACGGTGATATTGAACGAAAAACATGAGATCGTTGTACGACCGTTTGCGCGCGATATTGGTGGTACATTTTACGTCATCGTTTCAAATACCTCTTGCAAAAGCATCTCGAAAGACCGTGCTTCCGCAAAGACAAGACAGCGCACTTGGAAGTGCTCTTCTTCACGCGAAGTGCTATTATATACGACGTACGTACATTACCTTCGTGTAAGCCAACCTGCGGTCAGAAAAGAGCCTATGACAGGAACAATAAGATCAATAAAAAAAAAAAAAAAATGTATATATATATATTTTACCTCTCGTTTTTCATTTAAATATCTCGTCGCTATGGCAAAACATTTGTTTAATCCGTAACACAAAAATTCATAGAAAAAGAGAGCGAGAAGATAAAAATTTTGTATATTTACACACGCGAAAAATAAAATTGCGTCAAAAAGCGACGGAAAAAAACTTTTACACAAATGTTTGCGATTTGTTTTTGTTTGTTTTTGTTTTTTTTTGTTTTTTTTTTTTGCGCGCGTGTGTGTTTCCGTTGTCACATAATTTGGTATTAATTCATCTCTGATTAATACGACTACTGCTACTAATGCGACTGTCAATTTATCGCTTATCGCGCTATTTTACAAATAGAAATTAATTATGAACATACCATTAAAGCTGCCGGATACAAGATGCGTTCTCCGCGCGAACGTCGGCAGCAAACGTGTAATCGAATGTTAATTAACTTGATTTAATCAAACGGCCAGTCTGGATTTTGACACATTCAATTGCTATTTGTAATTGGCAAGCTATAATGGTGCGTTCGCTTAACGTTGATACGTAAAGATTTGTCGCGTGTTATTTCGCGGAAATTAGCAAAGTTGTTGATTACTTTTTCCCGATCACACGCATTATTTCCATCATTCTCTACATAATTCTGAAAAATGTTGACGCGCAGAAAATGATACGAAGTAAACATTAACTGATTGAGAATATCGCGGAATTTCAGTATATTCTCTAGAACACATTTTTTTCCAAGAAGATAAAAAACCAAATGTTGGACAACGCGACTTACAATCCCGTTCCTCCCGAATAAAACAAGACGCATGATCTAAATTTCAAATCAAGATCCGCTCGTAAAAGCTACAGCTGTAGTAACAGAAATGTAGCTAAAACTGTAGCAGAAATCGATTTAGTCGCTTTTGCGTGAGGTACTACTCGAACGAACAAACAAACAAATAAACAGAATCTGTGAAATTGGATGCAATCTGCTGCTTAGAAAGCGAAACGAGTAGTAAAACAAATCAAACTCACGGCTGCTTCGGAAAGCCGGTTTCTGACCCTTGCTTAACATTTTTACCGGCGATAAAAGCGACGAGAAGAATATGATCGGATAGCGCGTTGAAGACAAGAAAAATTGCTAAAACAAAAGACATGATAACTCGTTGAAAATCAACGTTATTTTATTGAAACAAGCGCATGCGCCACTTCGAATCGACATCTCATTAGATTTTGTAAAGATGAGTTAAAATGACTTTCTTTTGAACGTAAATAAAATGACTTCTATTATATTCAAAATGAATTTCAAAGGAAACAATGTTGCGATCCGCGTATTACAGAGCGTGTGTGTACACACACACACACACGCGCGCGCGCGCGCGCATTCGTTATATTTACAAATATTTTCGGCAGTATTCAGAGTTTTGCAGAAAACTTCAAAAGAAATTT